GTAGAAGTGGACAAAGCTGTTTCCCACATACACATATGCAACCGATGTCACGAACAGTTTGAAACAGCTTTAGAACTCCAAAATCATCGAGTAAGTAGTATATTGTGATTGTTGTTGTGTACAGTTTGACAGGAAAACATCGATCATTGTGGGAAGCGATCTTCTATGAACATTTTTCTAGTGTAGACGTGGCGCAATATCTTCTACAATGCCGAAATCATCAGATGGCGTATCAGGTAAACTTGAAGTAGCTTTGGAAAAAGTGAAGTGAAAACAATTCTGCAAATCTTATCAATTTTTTAACGCTATATAATTGCTGTATATTATTGCGTTGACATTTTCATTGTCTTATTGTAGGTATTAAAATCTTTAGTGGCTCTATTCATGTATGTACAGGTGATATCACACAGCAAGGGGTAAAAAGAATTTTTTTTCTTTCGGTTCTTATTTCACTTTGTTTATAGATGGATGCCATTGTTGTCATTTCAACAGCTGCTCGTTTAAGAGACTCTGTTCTTGAGCAAGCAGGAGATAAAATTAAGAAGCTCTATACAGAACAAGCGCAAACTCAACCAGATACATCTTTTAGTACAAGCAATGGACGTTTACCGTGCAAAAAGATATTCTTTATTCCGGCACCAAAATTATCTAAAAATGCTGATAAGTGGGTATTTCGAACTATTGTTTCTGAAGCTATACAATTGATAGTAAATGAAAAGACAATCATTATTCGATCAATCGTATTTCCAGCTGTTGGTTGTGGTCTAAATGGTTGCGATGCGACATTCGTCGCGGAAACATTAATGAGAGCTGTTAGTTATGAACTAGAACAACGACCAAACTTACCTCTCTCTGTTTATTTTGTAATTCAATCAAAAGAGACTATCGTTTTCAACAAGTTTGAAGAACAATTAAAGCTGATAAAATCTCCTCCAAGATCATCTACACGTCTCCCAGTTGTACCTCGAAAACCTCCACGAAAGGATACTGGGCCTGCTTTTGAACGAAGAATACTAGAGCCGTCTAGCAACATATTTAAAGAAGTTCTTCAAATATTTCAATCGAGTATGTCTAATCAATCTTATAAAGAAGTTATAAGTATTGAAAACATTCGAAATAAACGTTGGTATAGACAATATTTGGCAGAACGAGATGATTTCAATGATCGACTTAAACGAAATACGGAAAAACGTTTATTTCACGGATGCTCAGAGAAAGCAGCTGATAGTATTATGAAAGAGTTTTTCAATCGAGGCTTTGCCGGTGCTAACGGTATGTGTACATCGACAGGAACTGATTTTTCTTTTTTTATTATTCACTTTTCTTTTTGCTATTAGGAACTGCTTATGGTCAAGGATGCTATTTTTCATCGAATGCAAGTTATAGCCATAAATATGCGACACCGAATAACAAAGGCGAACGACGAATGTTTTTAGCACGAGTATTGGTTGGAAAGACAACGAAAGGTAATTCGTCTATGAAAATTTGTCCGCTTGGGTTCGATTCAACTACAGATGGTTCCCATATATTTGTCATTTATCGTGATAGTCAAGCATTTGGAGAATATCTAATCACTTATAGATGATCCGATTGAATCGTATTGTCAATCAAAATATATAGAAAGATATTGCACAAAACCGAGTGAATACAATTTTAATCTATCTATTTTTGTATTTGATTGAAGTATATCTGTGATTTTTATAAAAGATTGTCTACATGAGCTAATTTTCTTTTGTTAAAAATTACGATAATCTATGAGAGCATTAATCAGATGTTGATCGATAGATATATGATGAAATGAAATGTTTCAATTCAATAACTAAAATTTGGTATTTTATGAACAATTCTAATGAATTGAATCTTTGATGAAATATTTAACAAGCTTATTTAAAAAAAACATAAACGATTTCTTTGATGATGATCCTTGAAAACTCTTTTGCCATAATGATCTATATTTAAAATCCATTTTAATCTAGAAAAGATTAATCATGTCGATGATACTGGTTGTTAACAAACAGAATATATATCGCTAATCCTTGCATCCAGGATAATAATATCATAATATCAAGTCTTAACATGTGTTTTTTGACAGAAATCATTCATTAAACTGATTCAATAAGATATATTTACCTTTCTCTTTGTTTCGATGAATATTTAAAGAGCAACTCTCGTTCAATTGATTATGTAAAAACCGAAAATGATAGTATTACTTTTAAATACATATGTTGGAAGTCGAAGTAGATCTGAATAAATATTATAAGTCGAGAGCAGGGGGGGACATTGGAAGTTGAATGAGGAGACAATCGGAAGAAGAACGGTAAAGATGACAAGCTCTCATTGAATAGGTTTTTGGATGATTGTTATATTCTCAGTGAATATCAATATCATGAATTCACCATTGACTTATTTTACCTTATTCCCTCAAAGCGTTTATCATCTGTTTCATAGGAATATAATTATCAGTATGCAATTGTTTGCGTCTTGTGTTTGCATCAATATGATCCTTACCTTTTCGATCCGTTGAAAATAAAGAATGCCCACGTATAACAAGCGATTTATTTAACAACAGAGGGATATTTCTATTACAAAAAAATAATCATAAAAAAATTTACAACATATGAAATTACGTTGTCAATTTATTGTCTGATATCATATTGTTTTTTGACGCATAGAAGCTTCAGTGCACTCACTTCATATTGATTCTTTTGCTATTCGGATGTTCTAGATCGATACACTGTTGAATGAATGTAGTATAATAATCATCAAATCATTCATTCACCATAAGTTAATTCCATGGATATTTTACTTTAAATGAAGAATTTGACCACATTCGTAGCATAATGCATTAGAACTTTTTTTTTATTAAATCAAGGCTTCAAAGTGCTGATCCGATATTATATCGTTGTGTTAGTCTAAAGTAAGGTCATAATATACATTAATGGTTTTGAACAAGATTGTTAATCGTCTTTAACAATGACCATAATAATTTTAATGATATTCTTAACACTTTTGTTTTTCTTTCCTATATTGTTCATCATAGTATAATTAAGTATATCGGCCAACGTAAAATTGAATACATATATCAAGACATTACAAGATTAATTTTAGTTGCTTTATCCGAATAACTCCATCAATACCGGATTATTTGAAAGTGTGAGTGAAAAAGAAATCAGATTTTAGTTTTAGGGAATTATTCATTGAATGAAAGAAGATACTATAATACAGAAAAAAAAGATAATGAAATGTATACAAAAAAAAAATAACAGTGGAGAAATGAAAAACTACAAATAATATTAAAAAAAACCACAGAAAGCATTTACAACAAGTGGATGATAACAGGCATTTCCTTCTTTAAACCTACTTTTTAACTCATCAATTGCAAACTAGAAACTCAGTCATTATTTATATACTTACAGATTGAAACTTACCCACAGTTTTTGTTTCACGTTTCACGAAGAGTAGTAGCATTGATTTATTTTTGATTTATACTTACCCTTACTCTCATCTTCGTCCACACTATTTTCTATCTTTCGAAGATTTTCTTTTTTTAGGCTTTCCAAAGTCTCCCGTCTCGTCATATAGAATATCATAATTCCATCCGCGTAGTACCTTGTCTTCATCGACGTTTCTGCCCGTAACATATGGTCGAATACCAGTTCCGTATGGGGATGTAACTCTCATAAAATATGATGGTTGTTTTTGTACTCGTGTCCTAACAGCTTCTCCCCATGTTTTAGGTGGTGGTAAACCCGGAACAGTAAAACGTTTTATTTGGTCTTGTGGTAATGGATCATCTGCTTTGTGAACTTTCGCAAGAACTTTTATACCTGCATTTTGTGCTGCATATACTCGTCTATTATCCACCGAGGTCACTTTTCCATCAGGCATTTTTACTACATCGATGGGATCACCCTCCCATCCATCTGTTCTCATACTTTCTTCTATTGTTGCTATGTGTTTTGGGTCATTCACATTATCTTGTGAGAATCGAATTCCTTCTGGAGGTAATTCTTCCTCGTCTTCTCTTTTCACTCTACCACCTATCATTTCAGGATATCCACTCTTACTCGTCTCTTGTCTATATTCAGCATATTGCTGTGAATGTCGATGAGTGTATTGATATAAGTTCTCTCGCTTCTGTCTTATTATATTTTCATTGACTTTTCGTCCCAATGATTCATTAAAAGCTATCAATAAACAGTCGTTACCTCCATTCGTTTGTTTATGTGTTTCAGTACCTCTAGCAGTATAAAAATGTCCAATACTTCCATCTTCACCTGGTTTATAATTTATTTCAGCTGTTTGTTTAAAAAATGCAGGTATCTTTCTGAGCCCTGCAGGTCTTATCACTTCTTTTTCACGAGTATCATCATTATAAACAACTATATTTCTTAATTCACTATTTGCTAACATTTTAATATCAGCACGACCTAAAGGCCTATCTTTATTTTCAATTTCTTCCGAAAAATCCTTCGGATTCTTAACATTATTTTGTAAATCATTTCGTTTTTCTTCATCTTGTTTTTCTTTCTCAGATTCAGCTTTCGGTGAAGGTGCTTCTACACTAACTTGACTATCTCTATTCTCATTTGATTTTCTTAATTGATCTATTTGATTGTTATTGTTATATGCTGAATCTACCATGGCCTTAACACCCATTGCTATCGCTGTACCAATCGCTGTTAATGTTTTACTAATGATTTGTCTTAATACTCTATCTAATTCTCTCAATAATTTACTTGTTATATATCCTTTTATCATATTAATCAATTTTTCTGTTCTCGCTTTAACAATTTCAACATTTGACTTGTTTTGATTAACATTTTTGTCAGTCTTTGTTTGATTAGAACTTTCAATTAAATTCGTCAAAGTTTTTATAACACTAGCTAAATTTAAAACAGATTGAACTGCACCAAAAATCTGATTAATTAAAAGAGTTGCTTTTACAGTCGCACCAATCATTTTTGCATATTTTGAACTTGAATTACTCAAAGCATCAGCAACATTCACATAGGAATTTTGTAAAGCAGAAACAACATGTAGTCGAATACTGTCGAACTGTTGTGGTAATAATTGGTTACCAGATAATGCTCCTTCAAGATTTTTTTCCATTGTACTATATTCGTTTTCGGTTTCTTCTTTAGTTTTACCAGAAGAATAAATAGTTTCAACTTTAGTTTGTATTGAACTTGTTATAACTTTCAAAATTTGATCTTCAATTGTATTAAGAATCTTTGGTATAACACCATCTTTTACTTGTTCCATAATTTTTTCAGTTATGATATTCGTCAAAGTCGTAAGAGCAAACTGTTTCATTGCATTCTTAGCTATTTGAAAAAATAAGGCTGCTTTAGACACTGAACCTATTTTAGCAACTGTAGCACCTACAGATGCTAATTTTCCTATACCTGCTGTCACTAACGAGATACTAAAGCTAATAGATTTTTGTATAGCCCAATCTCTCCAACTAAATTGTCCAGATAAACCTGCCATTGTCGCATAAACCATATCGGAAACACCTTCAGCAAGAAGAGCACCTCCTATATTGACTGCACCGAAAGCGATTAAAATTGTTCCTCCAATGACTTGAGCAACTCCTATCATTGCAACTGCAAAAGCATTCCAATCCCACCAAGATTTATCTTCTTGAATAATTAAAAATTTATCAAGGCCAATACCTTGAAAAAATCTTAATTCATTTGGTACAGTTTCGACCTCTTGAAGATCAATAAATTCTTTGAAATGAGCTTTTAAATCACCTTCATATGATCGAATATCTCCTTGTAATCTTAATATTATTGACTCAATTAAATTTTTATCATTTTTATATTCAGTTTTTTCGAAAATTGCATCTAATCGTTTGCTTAGATCATCACGATGATTACCATATTTAAATTGAGCGAGTCCACCGGATTTTAAAATATTTTTTTCTTTTAAAAATATGTGAATTTTATTTCCTTCTTCTTCTCTTGTACCGTATGGTAAATCTGTTTGATATAAATATTTACTTCCTTCACGAATATATTCGAATAGTTCTCCTAAAAATCCTTTAAGACCTTTATCCTTTTCATAACCATTATCATTAAACTTTATCTTCGAATATTTCGCATATTTACCATTAGATTTCAATAAATTTAAATCTATATCTTCGATTTTAACTCGATTTGTTTGAATTAAAATTTTCTTTTGTTCGAGATAAACTTTAAAATTTTTCTTTTCAGAATTCTCTTCGAATACATCTAGATTGACATTAGTATGATCAATTATCTCTTCTAAATCATTCCAAATATCTTCATAGGATGCTCCTAACTCATTTTTTATTTTATGCGTATCTAATATATAAACCTTTTCGTCTTTTCCTTGTACATTTAAAACTTCCCATATTTCATCATTATAACAAACAATATCTTCAAAATCTTTCTTTGTAAAACTACTTTTATTACTCTTTAATAAATCAACGATTCTATCAGCAACTGAAGGATCAAGATTTTCTCGAATTATTTTTTCCATTTCTATCGTATTTCTTTTAAATGATTTTCTTATTTGATCTCCTTGAATAATTCCCTTATCAACTAAAAGATTGTA